ATTAATTTTAAATAATTTTAAATAATTTTAAATGAATTGAACTGTCCATTCAATTGATTTAAATGGGGAAAATAAAAAAATCATCAAAAATTAATGAAGACTCAGAACAAAACCAAATTAAGTTTGCACATGTTTCACAAGGTGCACTATGGAATCCAAGCATTTAAAACAGGTTTCAAACATTTTAAGACACTTTTAAATGAGCAAAAAGGGACATCGTTAAGTGAAATTCCCCCATAGAGAACATCGTTAAACGATGGGGGAAATTCCTCAAAAAAACCCATCGCTGTGTGAATTCATCGTTGTATGAAGCAATCGTTGTGCGAGGCACCACTGTATATATATGTAAAAACCCCTGATGACACGCATATGAGGTAAAGCTCATTTTGAAGCAAAACATGAAAAAAGTACCTGCATGTCTTTGTAAATCACAAACTGACCATGATATGGCAGTTAGGTAAGCTAACACAACCTTCAACTGCATAATGTTTAGGTCACATAAAGTTATAGTTTATTAGAGTTTATTTACAGTTTTACGTTATAAGTACTTCATTAAGAGTACAGCATCCAGTTCTGGATACCTTGTTTTAAGGATACTGACAAGTAAGCACGTCCACCAAAGAATAACCAGGCTACTGAAGAATCTGTACACTTTGTCCTATAAGGAATAAATGAAAGAGCCGCGTACATTTAGCCTTGAGGAGAGAATATCAAGGAGAGGCATGCAAACATCTGAGAAGCTGTTGTGGAAAAAATAGAGCTGACTCATTCTGTTTCTCCAGAGAGCATGGCCAGAACTGATAAGATAGCACAACAGAGAAAGAGAAGAAACTTTTGAAATATCAACTGAGCAGACAAAAGAATTGTACCCACAGGCTTTATCTGTTTATGACCTGTCTCAGACCAAAGAGGTTGGAGAACTTATCAGAGGGCAAGTATTCTGACCAAACTCGAAGTGCTGATTACCTGATACATCGACAACTTTAATAGCAGAAGCCTGCGGGAACTTCTCTTTGAGGACTTGTGTCACTCTGACTTCCCCATCTGTCTGCGAAGCAAATCTTCGCACCACATGGTGCAGGAGAAGAAGGGTCTAATGGGAGGTGGAAACAGCACAGAGGTAAATATAATGAAACAGGCCAGGGGTCCTAAAAGAAGGCATTCTCTTCATGCCACATCACACTGATGAGCCTTCCCAGCTTCATAGCGCTAATGCACAGTGTGAACATGGCTCTTTGGGGTTTCAGGCAGACAGTTTTCCTCACACCCTGAAGATACAAGGAACTGAACGTGGGATCTCTTGCATGGGGGGGGGGATAAAAACCACTCTATCCTTGAGCTAACTATGAACCTAAATCATAAGGACAAAAATACACTGAACCACTCTCCCCTATTCCTCACGATTTATTCTGCAGTCCATGCTGGGACCCAAGCAGGAACACATCATGATGTGCCAATGCGGTTGAAGAGTGGACCGTCCTGGATTCGGAAGATCTGGGTTCAAATCTCCCCATGGGCAATGAGACTCATGGACTGACCTTGGCCCAGTGACTCTCGCTTATTAGCCTGACCTACCCTCATAGGTGGGGCGGGGTGGGATGGCTGCATACAGCTGCCTGGAACACAACACACAGAAACATCCCCGAGGCGGCCCAAACATAAAAGCAGCGAAGGAAGGTGTGACGACAGGCCTCTCTCCCCCCCCCATAAAAAAAAACCAAGTTCCTTCCTCAAGGCTCAGCCGAGCCAGGGTGGGGGATGAGGGGGTGGGGGTCAGGTCCCGGCCCTCCCCCTAAAAGAGGGCCCTGCCCGGTTCTCCGCCAGTGCTGGGGGGGGCCCGAGAAGAGAAAGGGGCCCCTGTGACCCCCTCCCCCCAAACAAGGCCCGGTCCCTTCTGGGCAAAGAGGACCCCCCGCGGGCAGACCCCATCCCACCGGGAAACCCTCTCTCTCCCGCGACTGAGCGCAAGGGAAGCCCCGTGGCTTCGGGCGGGGGGGCTGGCCAACCGAACCCCCCCCCAACGGGCCCCGCCGCCCTTCTCCCTTC